AAATACTTTGGTATAGATCTAACAAAACATGTACAGGATTTGTATGCTAAAAACCAAAATACTTATGAAAGAAATCAAAGCTCTGAAGAAATAGACACATAGCATGTTCACGGATTAGAAGACTCAACGTCAATTCCCTTCAAATTATCTATGGGTTAAATACATTTCTTATCAAAATCCCAGCAAGACTTTTTGTAGAAATAGATAACCTTATTCCAAAATGTACATGGAGAGGCAAAAAAAACTAGAATAGCTAAAGTAATTTTGAAAAAAGAATAAAGTGGGAGGAATCAGTCGACCTAATTTTAAGATTTACCATACTCAAGGAAATGTGTTGTTGGTGGGACAAACTAGACCAACGGAACAGAATAAAGACACCAAACTCACATGAGCACGGCCAACTGGATTTTAGCAAAGCTATAAAAGCAGTACAATTAAATAAAAATAGTCTTTTCAAGAGATAGTTTGGGATGATTGGAAATCCACAGGCAAAAAAAAATAAAACTCACCCTAAATCTTACATTTCATACTAAAATTATCTTGAGAAGAAAACAGAAAAAAAAATCTCCAAGACTTAGGCTTAGGTGCAGAGTTCTTAGACATGACACTGAAATCAAAATCCCTAATGAAAAAAATAATAAATTGGAATTCGTCAGAATTAAAACCCTTTGCTCTACAACGTGTGGTGTTAAGGAGGATGAAAAGACAAGCTACAGAGAGAAAATTATTTGCAAATCACATATTTGGAAAAGGACTCATATCTAGATTACATAAAGAACTCTCAAAATTTAAAGTTTGAGCAAAAACAAAGTGCAATAAAAATTTTCATAGAAGACATGAACATTTTCCAGAGCATAACTACGTGACAAATAGGCAAATGAAAATATACTCAACATGATTAGCAATTAGGGAAACGTAAGGTAAACCCACAATAAGTATCAGCACATGCAGACTATAGAAGTGCTAAAATTTGAAAAGTGACAATAGCAAATGCTGACAAGGATGTAGAGAAATGCTCATACGTTGCTGCTGCAAATTAAAATGGTTGTGTGTGTTTGCCGAGGAGGCCACAACAAAATATCAGAGATGGAGCGGCTCATACAATCAAAATTTACTTTCTCACAGTTCTGGAGCTGGAAGTCCAAGGTCAAGGTGCCAGCAGGTTTGGTTTCTCCCGAGGACTTCCTTGGCTGGCTGCTACCCTCTTGCTGCCTCTTTACTCTTCACACGGTCATCCCTCTGTGCCTGAAAACGCTTTGTGTCTCTTCTTTTCACAACAGCACCAGTTCTTTTGGACGAGGGCCCTACTCTAATGGCCTCACATTAACTTAATCACCTCTTTAAAGACCAAGTCTCCAAATATGGTTACTCTGAGGTACTGGGGGGTTGGGACTTCAACATGAATTTGGGAGGGATACAATTCAGCAAGAGCCATTCTAGAAAATGGTTTAGGAATTTCTTAATAAACATGTAGGTGTGTACACTCACACACACACACACACACACACACACACACACACACACACTATTCCCCGTATTTTTATTGCTTGGGAAGCTCTGTCTCAACTGATGAAAGGGACTTTTACCAGTGGTGCCATGTCCATCCAGTAGGCACAGGAGTCATTTTGAACCCCCCATGTGAAATCTATGAATGAAACAGTGAGATCAGTGTAGGAAAGGATACCATGGTAATACAAAGCAGTGATTTCTCATCTCTTTTATCACAATGCCTCCATTCTAGAACCCTTCCAATAGAATACTGCCCACCAAACCACGAACCATGGAAAGGTGGGGAAGGATCAACAAACTAGGTAACACGTGTCACGTTCCCAGTGTGGATTTCAGTTCCATTACAGCTTACTGTCCCTACTGTGAAAATCTGGGTGGTTCTGGAGCTCGTTTGTCAGATAAATGCTTTCACCCTAAGAGAATGATGAAACTAATGAAGTCTTACCTTTCCTGGACGAGATTACTTAGCTTTTAGGGATTTCTCTCAGCCTATTTCCTTTCTAGATTTTTCCTATTAAACAACAAAAAAGACACATGCCCTAATATACAAAATCACTCCACTGAAGTCAAGAGATTACACTTGTTTTCTCCCCTTTTATTTTTTAAATTGTTTCTTAATATTTATTTCTGAGATACAGAGAGAGACAGAGTACAAGTGGGGAGGGGCAGAGAGAGAGATGGAGACACAGAATCCAAAGCAGGTTCCAGGCTCCGAGTTGTCAGCACAGAGCCCGACGCAGGGCTTGAACCCACAAGCCGCAAGATCGTGACCTGAGCCAAAGTCGGACGCTTAACCGACTGAGCCACCCAGGTGCCCCTTCTCTGCTTTTCAACTGAAACCAAGTACTGGCTCCCAGAAGTACAGGCTCTGCATCGACTCTAAGATCTAAAGAACTTTTTTATTTAGCTTTATTAAAGACTTATGAACTTTATTCAAAAGTCTCCAAGTATTAGTCTGTATAAATACATTTTTCCATTCCACTAAGAGCAAAAGTAGTTTCAAAAACTGCACCCTTGCGATAAATGCAGGAGCCCCTTACAATGTGTCGGTTGAGCTATTTGTGACTGAAAAGCACCGAGCATCACTCTTGACAAGTATTTCGAGGGCAGGGTTTTCTCGGCAGGTGCTGTTCTATCAAGTATGCAAAACTCATGAGCTTAACACCCATTACAGCTAATGTGTGATCACCGCATGATAGCCTTCTAGTTAATCTCTGGCTGTGTTCTCACCCAGATAGCCTCCTCTGACTCTAGATAAAGCAACTTAGGTCCCCAATTCCTTGCTGTAAAAAAACAAAAACGAAAACAAGATGAACAAACGAACTTATTTCACGTCCATCCTTACACTACATCCAATTCGTACTCTTTCTTCTGTACCTTCCACCAGTGTTTTAGGGCTGCACTTATGTCCAACTCTTTCCCATTCATTGTTACACTGTTTATCCCTCTAGACAGAATAAATGGAACCCCGGATAGTATCCAGACGTAAGGATGTTAGAACTATGAGATAAAATATTTATAACTGCAATTTTTAAAAAGCCTCAATATCCAGTAAGAGGACTGACAAAAATTATGGATCGCTATATAATTGAAGTGTTGAATGGGCAGCACAAATGAGGAGAGGATTCTACCTATGCTGATAATGGAATAACAGTAAAGATACCAGCGGGGCAAAAATTCTCAGTGCCAAGAAGTATAGTGTTTTGTTTTTGAATGTTTATTTACTTTTGAGAGAGACAGAGCATGAGCGAGGGAGGAGCAGAGAGAGAGGGAGACACAGAATCCAAAGCAGGTTCCAGGCTCTGAGCTGTTGGTAGTACAGAGCCTGACATGGGACTCGAACTCACAAGCTGTTTGATCATGACCTGAGCCGAAGTCGGACGCTCAACTGACTGAGCCACCCAGGTGCCCCAGGAAGTGTATAGTGGTTTTTAAGACATTTAAAAAAATGTTTGAAAGACCCCATAATAAAATTGTTTCAAATGAGCAGGAGCAGAGGGGAAAGTTATAAAAAAAAAAACCAAGCACCAGCTGGGCTGTAAACTTACCCATAGGGTTTTAAGAAGTTACTACCTAATGTTTGTTGTTAGAGTATAATCCATTCCTCCCCCCCTTTCCTGAATTTGCATCAGTTTGCCACACACACACACACACACACACACACACACACAAACCGGAATTGGATTTTTTTAAAAAACAATACTACCCGGTCGCCTCGAGAGAATCAGAAGTTGGATAATGGTTTTCATAGAATGCTTTTTTATTCCTTTGAATTTTTTTCATTCTGTGTCTATTTTTTTTTCTTAGACGTGCAAGGTGATCCAAGGTTCTTGAACTGTCCACTTCCCTTTGCTTGCAATTTCTTAAACAGCCCACGTTTGCTCCCTCCCTGTGTTCTTTACATCATTACAGAGATGTAATAACCTCTGCCTCGATTATTCTCTCTAGATACTCAAATGGCTGTTGCTCTCCCACTTCAGGAACCCACGTACATATTCTCTCATGTAGAGACCTCCCCCATGTAAAATAAAGGTACCTCCTGCACTTACACCAATCCTTACCCCTTTCTCATGTTGTATTTTTCTTTCACAATATTTATCGGCACCTGACGTTAAATTTCACACTTACTATTTATTCCCTATCTCGCTAAAATGCAGGCTCGTTGGGACTAGAATCTTTTGTTGGTTTGTTCCCTCCCAGCCATTCGAATAGTGCTTGGCACAAACCTGAGGCGCAAAATGCACCTGATTTAAAGGATCTATAACTTGTGTAGTTTGAGACGTAATTGCATAGCATTGGTTGACATGTACGGTAACATTTTTCAACTTGAGGGCACCATCTTCCCCTGCAGAAAGAAATGTGTAGTGCAGCTGCAAAGAGCCTCTTTTCTGAAAGACACATAAACATACAACACAGCAGTTGGTGTTGAAGACCTTGAGTTGGGAGTTCAAGGTTGGAACTACCAACTCCTTCATTTATAAAAAGAAAACTGTTAACCTAAACGCCACTGGGTCACCTCAATGAAGACTTACTCAAGAGACAGAGTACCAGGGACGCCTAGGTGGCTCAGTCGGTTAAGCATCCGACTTCAGCTCAGGTCATGATCTCGCAGTTTGTGGGTTTGAGTCCCGCGTCGGGCTCTGTGCTGACACCTCAGAGCTTGGAGCCTGCTTCAGATTCTGTGTGTCTCTCTCTCTCTCTGCCCCTCCCCTGTTCATGCTCTGTCTCTGTTTCTTAATAATAAATGTTAAAAAAGAGAGAGAGAGAGAGACAGAGACAGAGAACCAAATAAAGCACACCTACTGCCTAACCCAGACATGAGCTTATTCATTCCCAAAGAGGAATCTCGTGATCTCAGGCTCACATGCTCACATTTACCAAATGGCACAAATGCACCTTTACATTTGGTGGACTTTACTATGATGTGAATAAAGTTGGGGGGGGGGGGGAGCAAAACGCATGTCAAGATAGGAAAACATACTCCAATTATCCATCTTTTCCTTTCAAGGGTAAAAATTTTATTTTTGAGGAACTTCATACTGCACATTTTTAGAGTCACAAAGAAAGCCAAAATGTTATCCTCCCCTCATCCTAGAAATAAATAAGGGCATAAAATTTCTTTTTAAATCGCAACACTTGGAAGTTTAGCACCAGCATCCAAAATGAACAAAAAAGGATAAAAAAGCATTTACTCTATATTTCAGATTTCTTTGGCTGGGGTTCTCCCCATGCGGTATTAATATTTCTTCTTTGAATTCGTATTACCAAAACAGTAAAAACCAGGAAAAAAATATAAACCTAGTGGTTGCTGAAACTGGGGAGGTGGCTCTCTCGTCTTGCGTGCAGGCGTTCCCGGGATCTCCACTTGCTTAGCAAACTTGGCTGATGGTTTCCTTTTTGTGTAGCTGTCGGTTTCATAAAGAATAATCGTAAACATTCGAATGTCCATATCTTGGTTCTGAGTCTTCCATGTTATTGCTTGGATGTTTCTTTGGTGTTGGTAAGGTCATGGTCTGCTTTGTGCTTCATTTTTCTAATGGTCATTAATTGTTTTAGGTCACCTGAGGGGAGGAGGGAAAGTGAAACCAAACTTCAAGTGACAAGATGAACGAGAATTAAGGAAGAAAAAGGCAAAAAGTATGCTCTTCGTGTAATTCAAGCAACAGTATTTCAGAAAGTCACAATATAATCTACCCTTGCACCTACTGATCTGTACACGACACATGTAAGAAGACATTTTTGTAAACCAGAACATTCAGTACCTAGTAAAAATGTTATTCAATTGTAAAAAAGTGGGTGTCAGAGGGGCTAAGTCGGTTAGGCATCCATCCGACTCTAGATTTCAGCTCAGGTCATCATGTCACAATTCATGAGGCTGAGCCCCGCATCAGGCTGACAGCACAGAGGCTACTTGGGATTCTCTCCCTACCTCCCTCTCCACCCCTCCCCCACTCATGTGCAGGCTCTCTCTCACAATCAACATTTCTTTTAATATTATATAAAAGAAAATTACCCTCAGGGAGCCTTTTCAAATAAATGATGTTGCAGTATCAATAATTCTTCGTAATTACCTTTGTGGTTACACAATGTCTCCTAACATGAACATACCTGACGCTGAGCCACTTCCCAACGCTGGACAAATTAAGTCGCTCAACCGACTGAGCCACCCAGGTGCCCCTACGCTACATTCTGCAGCTCACAGCCTCCTGTTCAAACTGGCCACTAGGTGTCACCAGAGTAAAACTTTTAAAAGTTTTAGGAGTTTTTTTTTTTTTTTTTTCATACTACAAATTCTGTCTAGGAAAAAAAATGACCATCAGTAACTGTGAGAATGCTTATGCTCCCCCTTCCTAAAGGCTAACAAAGTAAGGTCAAATCCCATATTTAACCACTAGCTCTGCTCTTGTGCAGAATCCTCAAGGAGAAGGGGCTTGGTCCAGATGAAGCATGGACCTAGTTAGTTCAGACTCAAGCCAACAATACTTAAAAGAAAACAGCAACTCAAGGCCTGGGTTCCCCAAGCTCTTACCTGCTGATGGTAAAGGTGCCTGGGAGCCTGGTGTTACTCAGCACTGCTCTGCTCGGTGGCGGGAGCGGGCTTCTCAGATGGCGTCTCGCCTGCCTTGGTCTAAGCAAGACAGGACACAAAACCACAATCCAGAAATTAGCCGACCCAAGGGACAACAGGAAGTTCAAGACTAAAAGGTCTCAAAAGTCGGGATCTTCCTGCTCACGAAGGCAATCTTCCTGCTCTTAAGTGGGAGTCGAAAATTAGGACCACAGTAGAATGGCCAATAAATGGCGACGAAACACCACGACATCACAAAGTCTGATGCACAATGCTTTCAATACTTGCTTAGAGAGAGTTTCCTCTCCGTCAGTGCTGTCCTGGGCTCTGAGAGCCTTCAGCGCTTTAATTCTGAATCTCCATTAGCACACATAACCCTTCCAGAGAATGAGGAGTAGTGGAACTCAGACGCTTGGTTTGGGTTATGTACAGGGCATTCTCTCTCTCCATAATACATACATGCATAGATCTTCAGTAAAATATTGAAAATATTAGATTATCTTTCATATGCAGACTATACATGTAAATATGTAAATATATACCTTAATATGTAAATATATATGCTTAATGTAATAATAATAATAATATAAAATGTTATACAATTGTCAGTTACCAGGCTATCAAACCACTCTTTGGATACAATAGTAAATAAAGTCTGACGTGATTAAGGATGATCTGGCAACACCCCCTTCTGGCCGGCTGGATTTACCTCTTTGCCATCTTGGGAAGGAGCACTGGGAGGTCGGGGGCGACGCCGGTAGTTGTACGGGCGCCGGTACCCACGGCGAGCAGGTGGCTGGTTTGAACTGTTGGCCGCTTGCTGGTTCTCTTTATCTTCGGCCTCTCCAGCGGCCGGGGCGGGGCGGGGGCGAGGAGGGCCTCTAGAGCAGACAAGACAACAGAAAAGAGAATGGTGTGACAGGACAGGGGGCCTCAAGAATGATCTTTAGTTTTCAAGATTAAAAAGTCAAGGGATCAGGACTCATTGCTAGAATTACACACAGGCTTGGGGCGCCTGGGGGGCGCAGTTGTCTAAGCATCCGACTTCGGCTCACGTCGTGATCGCACAGTGCATGGGTTCGATCCCTGTGTCGGCCTCTGTGCTGACAGCTCGGAGCCAGGAGCCTGTTTTGGATTCTCTGTCTCTCTGTCTCTCTGTCTCTGTCCCTCCCTCAGCTCACACTCTCTCTTTCAAAACGAAACATTAAAAAAAAAACCCAAAACCAGAATTATACATAGGCTATTGCAGCAAATGGAACAGAGATTTTTTTTGGGGGGGGGGGGAGGGAATCTATTTTTCCACCATTTTCCCTCTTCATCTGAACACATGTGACATGTGTATATGTCCGGACACATACCATGGTCCTGCTGGGCACGTGACAGGCACGGAGGACAGGAAAGTTAGAAAAGCAAAGAGGCTCCTAGTACCTGCCCTCTAGGAACTGGGTTTAGTGGAGCCTGGAGGGATTGAACAAGGAAGGAAAACTAACATTATTTTGTGCCAGCGCCTGGGCTGGAATGTTTTGAGGTTAAATATTTCAACGCTAATTTTGTGAGTTGGATTTCTAGTGAGAAAACCAAGAGATTGTAGAGACGATAGGTATTTGGTTGAACCCTGGGGAATACTGCTTTTTAGAAGTCGAGAAAAGTCAAGTGTAACTTCCGCAGGATCACGCAGCCAGGGACTGACCGGGCTGGGACCTACACGGACCAAACACCGTCTCCTTTCTGGTTTTAAGACGTTTCTATGAAACCGCTTATTTTGGAAGTCTTTAGTATTTTATTGGTAAGAGTGACTATGTCTAAACTGGAATGAATCCTGTGAGGAAAAAGGACACGGACTGGTAGAAATCCTTTCCCAGAATAATACATTCTCCTTTCAATAAACCCAAGTTGCCAAACCCCAAGGTGGTCTAAATGTCGATCCGGAGGGAAGGTCTAGTTTCTTCACTTACGTCAAGGACTAGGTGAAGGAACAAGAAGGCTTGGGATATAATGAGCTTTAAAAGGCTCCAAGGGAGTCTAGCTCACTTGGGAGTCGGTCTTCACAGGGCATAAAGTACAAAAATCTACTCCTTCACTAATATGAATATATCATTGGTAGTATGGTAATAATGTCTAGTACTTACCGAGGGCTGACTATATATACATACATATATACAGTACCATTATCTTAGATTCATTAGTACTTTTAAAAATTATAAAATATTCCTTTCTGTCCATTTTATAGACCTGATAACTGAATCTTAAGAGTCCAGGAGCCTCCCAAAGGAGATACAGCTGCTAACTGCAAGGTGGGAATTTAAACACAACTTGATCTGTAGCCTGACCTAACACCTAGCCTGCCTTGGTGACAGGAATATTTGGTATCCCAAACACTCTCTGGCACTCACTCACCTCCTCCTTTCTCTGGCCCTAGCTCTCAACAATGGCCCATCAATTAATTTTCCGGTTATTGCATTAAACAAAAAAATTTAGTTTTCTTTTCTATCACATCACGTCAAAGCTAACCAATACAAACAATCGTTTTTGCACAACGATGCTGAAATGTTTTGTTAAACAGAGGGGAGATGCCCGATGGTCATTTGAAAACATACTGCAGAGTCTCTCTAAAACTCGGACCCATCGTCAAAGCAGCCACTTCTAATTACATAATAGATCCACACACGGACCCACAACAGTCTCATCCGTTAGGCTGTCGCTCACAAGTCCTTGACTGGTTGTCAGGTAACCACGTCACATACCTCCGGTACCTTGGGCGGTAAGTTGGATTTCGATGAACGGGTCCCTGAAGTTGTGTCCCCTCGGGGATTCCCTCCTTCATCTCTCCAATTTCACCAGCCTACAAGAAGGCAGTGAGAGCTGAAAATCAATGTCATACTACCAGACAGGAGAGAGACACAGAGCACACAGTTGCATTCAGATTGTGTGTGTGTGTGTGTGTGTGTGTGTTTTAAGTAAAAAAGTACACTGCTTCACTGTAAAGCCCAGAACCCTCAACTTTAACAGTGAACTGTTCACGGATTTAGATCTTTGCAAATGATAGGAAAGAAAAACTTATTTCTACTACAACAGTCTTTTGTGTATCACAGAGCACCTAGTTTTATTTTGCGATCCTATTTTAACATTTTGATGTGTTCCATTCATCTCTTACCATGAAAAAAAAGGAGAAAAAAACCCATTATTATGAAAGGAAATAGAATGATATACTACATTTGAGCAATGAGAATCTCTTCTACCTTTCAAACTCAGACCCACTCACTCTATGAACAGGGCATCCCTTCAGCCATTAACGGTTTCTACAGTGAAAGGTTTGCTCACAATTCTTAATGCCTTTGCTTCTGATCACTTCCTTCTCTCTCTTTGCATTTAATTACATTTTTTTTTTAAAAATCAGACTTCCTGGATGATAAATTTACTTTAAACTGGGGGTATAAAATTCATTTACTGTGGAACTTCCAAAGGAAAAAAACAACTAAAAACAAGAAGACCCACCAGACATCTCCAAAATTCCTTATAATATAGCCACAGCTTAACCTTTTTTCTCAACACTCACATCCTTTACTTCTCCATATTTCACCAAGAACAGAAAGGCCATCGGCAAAGAATTGCCGCATTCTTTCACTCTCAAATCTACCCACCTACCTGCGTTTGCTGTCGTTTTCTTCTCTCTCCTAACCCTGGGTCAGTGGTTGATGCTCATTACCCAAAGCCAACTTCTCACACCCCCTAGACCCCTTTAACTCTCTCTCCCTCCTTCCCCTTCACTGTACACTTTTCTTCCTCCTCTACTCCATCACTTCCATCCAGGTGTAGCAACATGAGGAAAGAGCTTCCATCTTCTGCAATTCTTAGAAAATAATCACATGCTTACAGAAAGTGGGAAGTACAAAATCTAATCCTCAGGCCCTAGTCAAGTATCACCAGTTGTCCCAGTGATGTCCCTGACGGCCAAGAAGACCCATTCAGAACCATGCCCCGAGCTGAGCTCTTTGCCCCGAAACAGTTCTTCAACGTTTACTTGGCTGTCGTGACCTTGACGCTTTTAAAAATTACAGGCCAGTTATTTTATACACTGTCCTTCAGCGTGGGGTTGTTTGGTGTTTCCTCAGGACTTAGCTTATGTATATTTGGCAGGGAAGCCATAAAAGTCACACTGCGTCCTTCTCTGCATCCTGCTGTGTGGCATATGGCTTCAATTTGTGCCGTTACTGACAGTGTTCAAGTTCAGAAGTAGTTAAGGTGGTATCAGCCAGGCCTACGCTGCTGTAAATTTACTCTTTTCCTCTTTGTAATTAATGAGGATTTGGAGAAGTACTTTCAAAGCGGGTAAACGTTTCCTTGCTCACCAGACTCTCAATATATTCATTTAGGTATTTATATCTGTACAGACTCATGGTTTTCTATTTTATTCAATGAGTTATAATCTGTTACTATCATTACTGGCCAATGGGAACCCTCTGAAAGCTGGCTCCTGCCCCTCTGACAGCTCTCCAACATTCTTTGAGTACTTTCTTGCTTTCTGGCACAACAAGATGTTCTGGGCTCATATTGTACTTTCTCTGGCCCAGCTCTGAAATCAGCCACTTCTCTAAGAGAGCTGCTTTTTTATTGGAGAATGGTTTTTAGAACTGAAAACTGAGGCCGGGTACGCTCGATGTTACTAAGGAGTCGCTGATTTCAGGTCATTTCTGAAGACAGAAATTAAGGAACACACATAAACAAATGCATGTGTTTACCTACAGGGTGAGTTACACATGTATAAAAGTGTGTGCGTGTGCATGTGTGTGTGCCTGTACAACGTATTTGATCTGTCCCTCTAGAGTGGCTTTCGGAGGAAGCTGCCGGGGTGAAGGAAGGGCTTGGGAGACCAGGAGAGAATTCACGGAATCGCAAAACAAAATCAAAGCAAACCAAAACCTTGCCCGGCCCCCCATCTTCCTCCCAGCTGCTGCCCCATTCCTCTGAGTTTCTTTACAGACTAGAGGAAAGCCACCACCGCCACAGAAACCTCCTCAAAGAAGAACTAAAACCTCTGTTTCCTTACCCTTTGCGCTCTTGACTTCATGCTAATCAGACTTCTGCCCTTACCAGACCGCTAACCCCCAAGTCACCAGACCCGGTAATCAATTCACAGCCTCACTCCCTCCTCTCCTCCTCAGCATTTGACACAGCATTTCCTTCTGGAAATATGTTCTCCCTACCTGCTCCCTCTCACCCCTCATCCTTGGAGGAAGCTGGTGTGCCCCAGGACTTGGTCCTAGGATCCATGTTCAACCTACACCCACTTTATGGTTAATCCCATCCCGCACCAGGCCTTTCACACTTCCCCCTGTCTCATCTCCCTCCTCAGGCTCCCTTCAGCCTCTGTCCCTGACCTTCCTCCCCCCCCCCCCATCCATAGCCTCTCCCAAAAACGAAAACCTTGGCTCGCTCGCTTCATGTAGGTCTCTTCTGAAACAGGACCCCAAAGACGTTTTCACCGCCTTATCTAAAATGACACCTTCCTAATTCAAGCCGCATATTCCCTCTTGGCTATGTTTTATTCTTCTGCGACTTCACATCTCCACCTGGAGGTAAAATTTAATGTGGGGGGAGGGGCGGTGAAGAGAAGGGGGAGTGGGAGGAAAGATCTCCAGATGGTTTCCCCCTTTCCCCTAAGCCCGATCTTTATTCAGTTTTCCTGTATTTGTTTAATCAAAAACCACAGAGACATCCTTTACTCCTCACGCCACACGTTCACTCCATCATCAGATGCCGTCACGTCTAGGTTTAAAATACTGCCAAAACGGGACCGCTGAGCACACCCCCCACCGCTAGCACTCTCGTCCATGCCAGGACCATCTCTGCACAGGGACTTACAGCAGCCGGGCTCCCCCACTGCCACTGTTGCCTCGTGGGGTCTAGCTTCCAGAAATAGTTCGGCGGGCTCATAGATATGTGCCTCCCTGTTGAGACCCCTTCGCAGGCTTTCCACCACATTTGGAGAGGTCGGCAGTCCTCAGCAGTCTACCGGGCAGGCTCTAGCTGCTCCCAGACATCCCCCTAACCTCATCGCCTACCCCTCGGCCTCGCCACTCAACAGTGCCGCCACCACAGGAGCCTCGCTTTAGTTCTCTGAACTAGCCACGCTGCTTCTTCCTCAGGAATCTTGATTCACAAAAAGCAGACAGAAAAAGCAATGTGTGAAGGATTAGAGTTTACCAGAACCGCAGAACGGGAAGGAAGAGCATCAGCCGAGACGGAGTTTAAATCAAGCCCTACAACTTCTGGCCACATGACCTTGGGTCAAGGTTGCCGATTTTTAAAAATATTACAATCTCTCCATTTGTAACAATGCCAACAAAATTATGGAAACCAACTGCATAAAGCCACAGGGAAGACTGAACGAGAATGGCTTTCACACGTCTGCCACTTGGTCAATGCCAAATCACTGATGCTCCCTTTTCTCTGTCATATAGGTTTTTCCTCAAAGACTGCAAATGGTTGCTATTAGTTCAGTAATTAAGCTAGATATTATCTTTGAAAAAAAAAAATAGAAGTCCTTTGGTCACGGATGTATCATGCTCTATTATGTCCTTTGTACATAAGGGAAATACCACTGGTCTGTATATTATCATTTTTTTCCGTGGTGTGTCCAGTATGGTTTCAGTTTTTATAGAGTAAAAAAATGTTTGTAGTGCCTTTTCTATTTGGCCTCAATATTTAACATCCTCGATTCTTGCTATACTTTCAAGCCATTACACTAACAATCTTGCAGTTGCCTAGCTACACGGAAGAGAGTTTTAGGAACTTTCATTTGATGCTATTGGCTGCCTGAGGCAGACCTCTGTAGTCACTGGACATCCCAGCATGGGGTGTATTAGAAAGATGGGAAAAATACTGAAGGAATTGAAGGACAGCTTTTACTTCATATATGGAATGGGTAAGAGAGTCGGCTCAAGTTTAAGCAACTCCATGCGATTATCAGAATAAGCACACGTTTTTCAGAAGTAGCTTTCCACCAGCTTTTGCAAATGATGTTCTACGTAGCACTGCAGAATCTCTTTGCTCTGAACCTTCAGTTCCTAGGGTAAAATATGCCTTATGTAAAAAAACAACATAGAAAAGAATCACGTTCTCAAAAAGATACACACGGATGTGCGAGATACTAAGAAAGATTATTTCAGGAAAGTGCTACTAATGCCCTAAAAATAAATGTGTATTATTTAGAAATCTCCCTGACTTTTCCTGCTCTGATTTCCTAGAAGCCCAGGGAGCTGCCTACTGTGGCCCCTGCACCCGCTCTCTCCATATATGCAAGTCTACTCGCTATTTTTAGCACATTCGTCAGGGACAGCTGTTAACGAGTGGAAGGGAATAACAAGAAGCAATGTAGAAAGAACACAGTCATGCATGACGGGCTGGGAGATGGGTAGCAAAGAACAGACTGAACATAATGTTCAGTCAAAACACTTCGTGGAAAAACAGAAAACAAAACCAAGGACACTGAGAGGAAGAAGTTACAGCGAATGATAACAAAGCCTCGTGTCCTCTCCCAAGGCTCCCAAGTTTCTGGGCACTGCAGAGTTGGTACAGTGTCCATCAACTGGAGGTCAGGTCCACAACAGCTATACACCAGTACTTTTCAGTAAAAAAAGGAGAAGCCATAACTAATCAACAATCCGCACAGCTACCTAGCTTTTCCTATGAACACCACTTCATGACAATTAAAAACTTGATGGATTTCATCTCTCCTCAGGCATGGAGCTAAAAATCTTCGCCTTTGATGGAATCATCATAACTTCCCCAAGACGAGGCACACAGCATTATCCGTGTTCAGTGGCTAAGAATCAAATGTGCGTTTGCAAAAGCTCACAGATTCAAGTTAGCAGAGAGAGATTCAACTCCTGGTCTGCTGACTTCAGAGTTTGAGCTCTTACTGCACAACCACCTGCCTCTCTAAACGGTCCCGTGTTCACCGGGGTGCCCGGTAGAGACGGGGCTGCTGTGCTTATGCTTTTGGAAATGAGACTAGAAGGGCGGATAAAAAAAAAAAAAAAAAAAAAAAAAAAACAAACTAAAGGCCTTGCCTCAGCTTTTGTGACCTCGGGAAGCCGCGAGCAAGGCCTGATTTCCGGCGGCTGGTGTTGGAGGAGGAGGAGGAGGAAGAGGAGGCAGAGGAAGGACGGAGGGGTGAGGATGGCCGAAGAAAGGTCCCAGGTGCAATTTTACCTGCATTCTGTTGGGATGGGGAAAGACCCGTGAGCGACGGTCAAAGGTCTGTCCCACGTGGTAAGGCGGGAACCGCCTCCGGTACTGAGGGCGGTACGGGGGGCGGCGCAGCTGACTCCGGGCCCCAGAGAACTGCCCGTCAGTGGCAGGGGGGTCAAATCCTTCACTGCTGCCGCTCCCTTCCTCCTCCTCCTCCCCAGCGTACTAGCAAGCAAAGAAACAGAGGTTCAGAAGAAGTTTCAGCGAGGACAGAACCAAAGAATGCGGCTTAGGATGAGTATCATCACCAAAAGAAACCCCCCCACCCCCAAAGGAATAATCCATCCCTCTCTGTTCTGCAGACAAAGTGCATTTAACCCAGGTTATCACGGGACTCCCTGGGATAAACAGACATCAAGATTAAGGTAGGTCTGTGCAGGTAAAACATTAAGAAGCAGAAAAGCAAGAGCAATCAGTCTGTAATGAATCTGAGTCGTCCAACTATAATTGGTGACTAGTGTGGGGCAGTGGCTGGGTGGCTCCGTTCGTCAGGCGCCCAGCTCCCGACGTGGGCTCAGGTCATGATCACAGAGTCCCAGGAGTGGGCCCCACATACATCTCTGTGCTGAGGGTGGAGCCTGCTTCGCATTCTCCCTCCCTTCCTCGCTCTGTGCCTCTCCCCCACCCACACTCTCTGAATATCAGTTGAACAACCAACCAAAGAAAACATGTACAAGAATGTTAATAGTTTAATAGCTCCGTCTGGTGTGTGTCTCCCAACATCTGCCATCCAGTGGGGTAAAAGTCAGGGCAAAGCAAGAAAACAAAATATTTTGTGGTGTTAACAGGTTTGTCCTAAGGGTCCTACCTTCCTGTAGCAATTCTCCCAGTGTGGATGGGGTCTCCAAAGCCCTTTCATGTCTAGGGGGCGAGTACCCAGTTGAAACGATTCTTATAATGGTAGTAGGATACTATTTGCCTTTCCCCCCTTACTCTCTCATGGGTATATGGAGGCTCATAACAGCTCCAGTGACATACAGCCTCTTAGCTGACTGAATGCAGAATGAGATATGAAAGCCCAGCCGGCTTCTATTAAACCAAGCAGAGATTTGCAAAAATTATGAAGCGACACCACTCTTCTCACTCAATTTAAAAACCTAGTCTTCAGGGGCACCCTGGGTGGCTCTGTCAGTTAAATGTCTGACTTCAGCTCGGGTTGTGATCCTGTGGCTTGTGGGTTCGAGCCCCGCATCGGGCTCTGTGCTGACAGCTCAGAGCCTGCTTCGGATCCTCTGTCCCTCTCTCTCTGCCTCCCTTCCCCCACTCTCTCTCTTTCTCTCAAAAATAAACAAACATTAATGATATTAAAAAATAAAAACAAAAGCCTAGTTTTCATTAAAAATGGTATTTATATTTGTGTAATGAGCTTATTTTCAATTAAGTATCTTCTAAATGTCTGCTCTAATTGGTAACAGATATAAACACTCGTAAACAAAACCTCTGGGATCGTCAGTCATACTTAGGCATATAAATGGGTCCAAACACCAAGAAGTATGAGAACCACTGACTTACGTAGGATTTTCTTTATATGCTTTGGAATAAAGTTTTAATTGCACTTTTACAGTAGTAAGTAATAGATATAGACAATTAGTAAGTAATAAATAGGCAGTTTCTAAATAGTAAGCCTTATTTACAAAGGAAACTAGTAACCCTATATTTTTTCTTATGTTTAAGCTACTATATATCACATACTAATATCTTATATTAAAACACATATAGCGAAACATCCCTCAAAGAATTTATTGCAAATCTTACACTAAAGGATATAGATATGCAAATACAAAAGGTGGTCAAGGGAAGTAGCTAGTTTTTAAAAATGAATAAATTAAAACCTAATAAATAATGACAAACTAAAAATAAAATAATGACCCATGTCTTTTGGAGGTGAGAGTATTTAAGATTTAGAACACTCCAGAATCCGCCACATGGGCAAAGAAATTCCCAAAAGGTAATAAAAGTTTCAACTGTAGCCTCATTGAGTCTAATTTCAGAAAAATCAAGCCATTCTACACTTCATAAAACCTGTATCGGCTACAATCTACAACTATATAAAAACATCTTAGTATAAAAAAAAATAAAAAAAAGAAACACATATTAGCATAGAAATCATACACCAAAATAGTAAGTGTGGGACTGCATACATTATTCTTCTTTTTAGGCTATTCTGTATCTTTTGAGTTTTAGACAGCCAAATCCTTCATTAATTACCTTTCAAAATAAGAATAATGTCGTCACCATTGCCAAACATGCTCTTGAGAGAAGCTCAAGAAGCTGTCAGGACATCAGGACATCACAATCGAAAACCTTCATTGACACGTACTTTCATGTACTTCAGAAAATTGTAAGGAAAATACATTTATATTCATGTACTATATTTACCAAAAAACATCTGCTGTCAGTGACCCACAGAATTCAAACACGTGCTATTCAAGGGTTGACTGTCATCACAACCAGAGTTCTGTAAATCTGATGAACTTAGAAGAGTTAACGTGATATAGTAACCGCTACAGTAGCTCATTCCTTCTCGCCACCTCCCACTGTCCAGGTTTTTATTAAAAATCAGACAGCATAAGCAGGGCACCTGGATGGCTCAGTCGGTTCAGCATCCAACTCAGTTCAGGTCATCATCCCAGGGTTCTGGGATCAAGCCCCACATTGGACTCTTCGCTGAGTGTGGAGCCTGCTTAAGATTCTCTCTCCTTCTGCCCCTTCCCCGCGCATACGTGCGCTTAAAAATAAATAAACTTAAAACAAAAATAAGGAAAACATGGGTAAGAAAAATACAAAAATAAAGGAGGGGATGGGAGGATGGTTGAAATAGGTGATGGGGATTAAGGGGAGTACAGGGTGATGTATGCAACTGCTGAATTACTATATTATACGCCCGAAACATGTTAATATAACACCTGTGTTAACTAACTGGAATCAAAATAGAAACTTAAAAAGAGTAAAAATAAAATAGAGAGCAGTAAAATAAAAAAAGGAAAAAATACAGAAAGAAAAATAAGGCATCATCAGGGTAGCTGATAAAAACCAATTTGGGGGGACGCCTGGGTGGCTCAGCTGGTTAAATATCCGACTCCTGATTTCAGCTCAGGTGGTGATCTCACAATTCCCGAGATCAAGCCCTGTCGTCAGGTTCTGCACAGACAGTGTGGAGCCTGATTGGAATTTGTCTCCCTCCCTCTCCCTCTCTCCCTCTCTCCCTCTCTCTGCCCCTCCCCCACTCATTTGCATGTGCACACCCTATCCCTCTCAAAAATAAATAATCATTTTAAAAATCCAGTGAGACATGGTGTGAAGATGACAGAATGAAGAATGAAAGCACTCAGGTGAGCAGAAAGACATAAATCTATCAAAGCATTAAGAAGAAATCATTCTCACTTTAAGACACTTTTTTTCTGGTGAGATTTTTGAAAAGATGTCCTTGGATGATATGCAAAGGCATAGTCTAGAGCTCACAAAGCATCTCGAGTTTTATTCTGTAAGTGACAATCCCAAGTACTAATTCTAGAAACCTTAAAAAAATGACTCAAATTTGATAGGATCCTCATAACAAATGAATGGGGTTCTGTTGGGGTGCCTTGAGAGTACTTTAAATTGAGCCTTCTTAGAAAGCGCGAGGCAGACTTGGTTGTGAACCCTTTCACCTGGACTGGTACCAATCTAAAGAACTAAAAGTCTGGGGAATGACTTAGTGCTTCTTTACTTTGAAATAATGGGAAAATGCTACGCTGAATAAAAGAGCTGCTTAATCGAGGTAAAATGAATATTCTGCAGTCAGTGCTGATTTGTTGCCTGTTCCTGTGCTATCGCCCATTCTCCCTTGCCAACCCAACACTTATTTTCTTAGAGACCAACAGTGCTAGTGCCAAGAGATGAACAGCTTTAAGCCAGTCATGGAAACCCCAGGCCCCTTTGCCAGTGAGTGCCACATGACTAGGTTCTGGCCAGATAAAAGAGCCTAATAGAGAAAGCCCTTCGGACTGGCACAGCCTGTCTGGATTAAAGCTTCCTCTTAAAAGATAATTGTCTGCTGCTTGCAGTCAAGATACCTACAAACTGACAGCACCTCTGCACGGCAAGTTTCCAAAGAGACCTGTGGCTGTGGATGAATTCTGGGCACCACAAATCTCCCCGTCCAAACCCATATCATTCTGTGCCTCCAGAGGAAGACACAGTCATCTGCTCCAGGTATATACACTTCCATGTTTCCATTTTATACTCGCAAGCACCAAGACAACATACATTACGGGGAGGCCCACGGCGCCTGTCATAGTAGCCGCGTCTGTAACGGCGCCGGTCGGCAGCGTAACGGCTCCCTTCCACGGGAACTCCATCTGGTCCAGTCACGTTGGCTGCTTCTGCGCCCTGAGAGAGAAGGTCAACAGAGATGGCCTCAAAATTAAAAAGAAGCTAAACTAACCCTCTCCAGCCCCCACCCCCAATTAAAAAAACCAGCCTTGGACAGTCAGATCAGAGTCTGGCAGAACGTACCCACAAGTCCTACTGTGACCTCAAGTGCACACCCAGGTATGAATAAGGTGGGCAAGGTGCTTGGCGTCCTGATTACAATGTAGTTTCTTTGCTCACACAACCTAAGCTTTTCCTTCTGGTTTGGTTATACTAAGTTCAAAAGCAGCATGGACCCCTTTAAAGAACACACACTGGCAAATGTAATGCGATTGTAAAAGAAGTAATGACGCTACACCAGGAAGAGTATTTCTCCATGGGAAATAAGGGAGATGTTATCTTCTTAGAAAAATGTTGAAACCTAGATTATTCTAAGAGGCACTAAGAGAATAGCTGTTCATGGGCTCAAGTGGCTCTGTCCAGCACTGAGCTATCGAGAGGGAAACTTCTCCCGCCTCGGCAGCAACGGAAGACTCCTTGATTTCGTCACACATAATTCCCACAAACATAATGTCACCTGAGACCATCTTAGTATCCTTCCAACACACTTAAGCGTCCTTATTCTCTTATGGACAAACAGATAAAACAGTGCTTCAAAAACAATGAAAAAAAAATTCAGACGAGAGAGATTCAAAAGAGTAGATTTCACATTCAACACCAATCTGTAAAACCTCACAGTCCTGAAACCATACGAAGGTAAAACCAGCCTGGCAATACAAAAATTTAAGAGTTGGATGGGATAATAGAGACCAGTCTAGGTCAGCATTTGCTGGTGGATGACTTGAAACTCCAGATTTGCAAGGCAGCTGAGGGACCACAGTAGTAAAGAAATCATTTAAATTTCTATATTAAATAAATGAGGCACCTGGATGGCTCAGTCGGTTAAACATCTCTTGATTTTGGCTCAGGTCATGATCTCTCTCTGCACTGTCATCGCAGAGCCTGCTTGGGATTCTCTCTCTCGCTCTCTCTCGCTCTCCCCATCCCCCACTCACGCTCTTGCAAAATAAATAAAGTTAAAAAAAAATCTTTTTCCCCAAAGCAACTTCAATCTATTTGTAATACTATAAGAGTTGTGGGCCACCTGGCTGGCTCAGTCTGTGGGGCATGTGACTCTTGATCTCAAGGTCATGAGGTGGAGCCTCACGCTGGGTGTAGAGATTACTTTAAAAAAAACACTATAAAACGTTAACCTACGCTGGAATATACGTTTGGTACCAAAGCAAACTGCATCTTTTAAATTTTGAAAAATTAGCTTCTCCCTCTGTAATTAAACAGGACTCTTCATCATTTATTAAATGAGACATTACAACGTCCTTCTATAATAAATCAAAGAACATTTATAAGGACATTCAATAATCAAAAGTTTTCTACTGAAAAGTCACTTCTGTCAAAAATCCAAACCAATGTTATTTCATAAGGGGCTGAGAGACTACTTACTACGCAAGAAAAACCACGTGCCAGCACACTTTGATACCCAGCCACAATAATCTCACCTTTTCTCCCTCAACCACATCAAACTCTACAGTTTCTCCATCTCCTACACTGCGCAGGTATTTCCGTGGGTTATTCTTCTTGATGGCAGTCTGTCAAGAGAACAGAAAATTCTAAATGAAGACTATGTCAACAGAGGCCAGCGTTCACCTTTTAAGTTCATTGAAATATTATTCTCCCACTCGCCTGGATCTTCAAAACAGTAATAAAAAAATGAAACAAAACACTGCAAAACTAGGTTCCACGTTATTTTCTTGACTTGTGGTTGCCTCTGAGACTCATCTTGGCAGGTGGATTCAACAGGATGTGTGTAGTTACTACACACTTCTGTTACAGCCTGATCATGATATTGGAAAGAGTAGTTCCCTCAAGCTATTAGGCATCTAAGATTCAGACTGCACCTCTATGGGTCGGGAGGGAAAGGGGGGGTGCCTCCATGAAGTCTTGCTTAACACACAAATACATTTTAGGTGGAGGGACTTCTAGAAACAAGAGAAACTGCTAACCTCAAAAGGAATTTTAAACTAAGCAAAGGAGGAGGGATGATGAAGAATAGAAAAAAGGAATTTAAAAACGCCAGGGGGGTAAATATTTCTGATAGAATACACAACACTACTTCAGGAATGAAACATTACTGATAAACAAAATCTGGCCTCTTCTCCCTCCCCGCTCCATGTTATGGATAAGGAAACATGAAGCTGGTAAGGGATTTTGCTGAAGGCATAAAGATACAGCCTTGGGGGGCGGGGGAGGGGAATCCAGGCAGGGTGGGTAGGGGGAATTCACATCCCTACACTGGATCTATGATATTTTCCAATATTTTCCCCATCACACCAACTCATCCCTACAGATTTGTGATACTCGTCCCTCAACATCTGCATATGGAAAGGCCTCCCCTTTTCAGCCCATGGAAGGGAGAGAATAACTCCTGCAATGAATTCCCATGTCTGTGGTTGGTATCTCTAAATGGTTAAAGGGGCTCTGAGTTTCTATGGAACTAGGTCAACCTTATTTTATAAAGCGATTAGGCATGTGTAATCCAGCCCTTCCCTTACTCTGAGTGGGAGGGAGGAGGGAAAAGAAATGAGCCAATAGGGCAGAGACCTCACCCACGGAGGAAGAAAGGCAGCCCAGGACAGGATATCTGCGCACGCAGTTAGAACATTGAGCCATTCCAAAAACAGCCCCTCCCTGCCGGCTCGTTCCCTTTTTCCTGTTCAACTGGGCAGGCCTCAACACATCGAGGTGACTCACCACACGACCTCATGAGGGCTGGAATCAGGTCATAGACTTGCAGACTAATGATGCTGGCCACCAGGACACAAACGTGCGAGGTCCCTTTACTGCATCTGTCACCAGACACGGACTTCTTAGCCCCAAAGGTCTATCTACGGAACATCTAGGTAGCAGAAGCAGCACTTCTCTTTCAGTGTGTGATAATCTGAAAAGTCACCCTGTCTCAATGACAACAACAAATCTCTAATGATCTGGGCACAACTGAAATACATCCAGTGAAGCAGACATGTAAACAACAGGCGCCACAACCAGTAGAGCTGAATCTTAGATACTGCTATCCCTGGTCACCACACCCACCCCGATTCAGAACCCTCTAGAGAAGGAGACGGCGACAAAGAAACCCAGATAGATGCTTCGCGGAGCCCTGCAGGGAGCACCGGTGTTAGTACCAGACTATACTTTCCTGTTACACACTAAGAGCTCCCCACAGACTTGAGCCAACTCGCTGAAAATTAAATAAATAGACAAAAAAGAACCACAAAGGCATCCTGCATTGTAAAACAAGTCCGGGATGCATGATGAAATAAACAGCATCCCAGGCCAGGAACGTAAGGAAAGTCAAAAACATCAGCAGCCACGAAGCCCGTGTTTCCCACATTTTACCCATCTTCTCCATCTCCTTCCAATCCAAGGGAACGTGGACTTTTGACCTGGACATGTGCTAACCACGCCTCATTCTTTTACAGGATTGAGGGCTATCCTGGGAATTGGGGAGTTTTTCTCATGTCTTGGATACACACACCCTAACCGTCTGCTTTCCTGTGCTATTTGCTTCCAGTCAGAGCCACTCTGGGAGAAGAAGACCTTTCGCCAACACCCACCCGGGGCAAAAGCCAGATTGGTTCCAGCCAAACACCAAGGAGGGACCACAAAGTCAGGAAAGTAAGATGCTAACGTGGGAACCAAGTTTTGCTAAGGAGTCAAAGGCTTTCAAAATGAGCAACTGGTCAACTGAGTATGACTCCATTCAACTGCAAGACTAAAAAGCTAAAAAACAACGGGACAGAAGAGCTCATCTGCCAATCCTGAAACGCGGAAGTGTTCTCTCTGGCCAAAATAAAACTGCAAGGAGGGTGTACAGTGGAATAACAGTTTATAGGACTTCGTTTTGGAAAAGAGACACCAGCAGATTACAGACACCCGTCTCCTCACACAGCAGATGGAACGTTTGTTATCCCTCTTACCTGATGTACAAACACATCTTCTTTGGTGTCGTTTCTGTTAGAAGACAAAAAGTTCACAGATGAAAAGCACTAGGTATGGGGAAAAACTTCAAAGAAAAGACGGTCTATGAGTTTAGATTCCAAGGCCCCAAAAAGGCAACAGACGTTTTTGTTTAGCCCCAACTTAATTCAGAAGCCTAGAAATTGGTCCTTGCTAAGAACTTCCAAACCCGCAAGATACCCACTGTGCTCCTCCATCTTACCAAGGTGCTTAGATCCAAGTGCCCGGCTTCTACAGACACATCCGTTCCCTCTCATCTCCTCCTAAATCACGCGGAATGTAATCAGAGCCCGAGATTTCCCTCCCAGTAAAAGCAAAGCAAGACAGTAAAAGGACAGGGCACAGCTGTGAACTAGGCTCCCCTTACACTGAAACCTAAAACAGCACCCTCTCCACCACCCTGCCCTAACTCACCCCACCCCCCACCAAATCAGATAAGGAAGAAATTAAGGAATTTTTAGGGAGGGCGAGGCAAAGAACATGACAGTGTTATAGAAAAACATCACCAGACTCCCAGCAGCCTACAGTTGTGTTCTCATTCCTACAGGGTTAGAAGTTCCCAGAGTTTAAAGAAAACACTACGCTTTCTACACAGGACTTGGGCCAGACCTGGGTTACAGATCCAGCTCAATTACTCACTAGGTGTGTGACCTTAGGAAAGTTGCTTAACCAGTCTCAGACTCCATTTCTCCATCTGTGAAATTACGGATATGGTCTCAATTATCCTAAGGCCCTCCCCATTTCTCTTTCATCTCCCTCACCTTTTTTCTTTTAATGACTGGATTTTAAAAAAATATGTTATTTGTCTGCAGTCTGGAAGCGTATTTTAATTAATATTGAATAACCAATAGCTTAGAAATGAGAACATCCACAGTGCTTACAAATCTCAAAAGGTACTCCAGCCATCAGGTAAAAACAAAACAAACAAAAAAACTTACAGAAGTCATTTGAAAAGTCTGGCAAATGATTTATAAGCTGCTGGCGCTAGAGAGTAAGCATGCATTTAAAACCTGTACGGAGATACACACACGTACCGATTTATAAATCCATATCCATTTCTGACGTTGAACCATTTGACAGTGCCAAGGACTTTGGTGGCTAAAATAAGATTAAGCAGATAAATTAGTATCTGACCTACAAAGAGAGAAAGCTCATATCACAAAGGTCTTGATGGCATTATATAAAGCCTAGACATACCTGAGGAAACCATTAAAGGCTTAATTCTAAAATATATTAGGAAAAGTAAATGGAGCAAAGGAAGATAGCATAGGAAAATACTTTTCAGAAGACTAAACCTTTCTTCCTCCTTAAACTTTTCGGTGGTCATAAGGAGTGGTCATAAAGTCGATACATTTCTGCAATAATTTAAATTGAGAAACATTATGGAAAAAACAAACAATACGTTTTGTGATTAAAGTTTTAATCGTGGAAAAACTCCGTAGGCGCAAAAGAAGGGTCTAATGAAAGGCGACTGTAGACAGATGAACAAGGTTAAGTACCAATGACCGGAACACATCACTTACACACTTTGAAATCCCAGGCGAACTTTAGTAAGTGAAATAGTAGCTCCTTGTTACCACCTAGTCTACAAAGACATAAAGTAACTTGTCTAGCCGCCAGATGGGGGCCTATCAGAGGAGTCAAGAGTAATAATAGAACTGATGCTGTCTCACCCGGCTCTGTACTCACCACCCCGAGACATGAGGTAACAGGCCTTTCCGAACCACAGGGATGAATCCGGGCATCTGTTTCACTGTTTACCCCACTCTCTGCAGTTGGAGAGAGTCAAACTCACCCCCCCCCTTTTTTTTTTAATCTCCCTCTTTAACTTGATTGTCTCTACTTTCCATTGTGAGGGGGACCATTTCTATGCAATGCCAGACTTCGACAGAATTCAAGAGAAGGAATCTAAACAAACAGTACGGTCCTATAACTTGTACTTTGTACATTCACATTTATTTCAGCCATCACGTCACGTATGATTTGAGAAGACTCCCTTGAACCCGTTGTGAATGCCAAATTCAGAACCTCTAGGAAATGCCAACGTCTAAATTCAGGAAATGCATAAAGCAATTATCAAGACTCAATGAAACAGGAAATCTGACAATAGAGTACCTTAAAAAAAAAAAAAAGCTTAGCAGAGAATGAAAGTTAATAGCATTAACTGTTACTAGGGCTGCCTCTCAATGAGATACAAACTTTAGAACTTTCAAGGATAAACAATAAGGATTCAGTTTTCAAATTCAAGACTCAAATAGTAATTAGGACTTGTTTTGTTGTGGGCTGGGCTAGTTCTGGGTTTTGCTACGTTGATATGCTTAAGGAAGTACTTTAGCTCTCTTTGTAAAAGAGAAACAAATCAAAACCTCTCTTCGCCTCCAAAGTCATTTGTAGCCCACTACTGAGTGGAGTGATCTCCAGCACGAATTCCAAGTAAGGAGAGATTGCAGAGACCACTGCAATCTTCAGCTTTAAACCATTCTGATTAGAAATGAGAAGGTCAAAGGAGAAAAAACCATTTTCTGTTTTAGGTCTAATGTACACAGAAGAGGCCCGCTTTTGTTAAACAGTACGCTTTTAAGTCGCACGTTACTTCAAATGATTAGAGTTTTGTGCCTCCTCTCCTCTCATTCACCCCAAAATTAATGACCTAGGAAAATACAAAGATAGGAACCCTTTTGGATTCCTTTTCATACGGCTAATGTCTAGCACTGTCAAAGGAATAATCCTGATCAGAAAGGCAACACTAAGAGAATAGCAAAAAAAGATGAAAAATGATGTTCAAGTCTAAATTCAATCCAGGCTGAAGGCTATTTTCACTCCTCAGTGCAGTTTTTTAAAGTTTCCTAATTCCACCAATACCCCCAACAACTTCACATGGTCAAACACATTCACACGCACTTCTTGCTTTGAAACCATATCCTCGCTTCACATACACGAGGAGGAAGGGAGGCCAGAGGAAGACTGTACGGCTTCTATAATGTTTATTCAAAGGAAAGTTTTCTTCCACACTGGGGAAACAAACACCACTTTCTGCGGCCTGTGGCTAGCCACTGAGGCTGAAGCCTCTTTGTAGGAACTAAGATGGAAGAACTCCAAACCAGAATTCCATTTCAGTCAGCACTGTGCCTGGCACAGTTTAGGCACCCGTGTGTTTGCCTGGCACAGGGAAGGAGACGTCAAGGCACAAGGACAGGGACAGTGCTGAGACGCCATGTAGGAGGCCACCCTTCATTTAAAGACTCGGGAGTTACAGAGGAGAGACAGACTCCTCACCTGGGATGCGGCAGGGCCTTAAGAGCAGCTGGTGCTTGAGAAAATAAATTTCTCTCTTCCTTTCATCTTTCAAGATGTCTGCTTGAGTTAAAAGCCCAGCAGTTTAGTTTAGATCAGAAGGGTACCAAGGATCAAGTGCACACCTGCAAAATCTCCTGTCCACAAAATGAGTTACCCTTAAGAGTATATCTTAACTCTGGTTTAGAAAACCCACGAGGTGTTGTCTCTTTTAGACATTTTGCACAGATGTGTTCCAAGAAGCACTTGTTGGTCACAATATCACAATACTGACTAGCGTTACGTAGCCTTTAGTCCAGCAAAATAAAAGCAAGTTTGTTTCTTTTTTTTTTTTTTTTTTTTAGTTTACTTATTTTAATGTTTCATTTATTTTTGAGACAGAGAGAGACAGAGGGTGAGTGAGGGACCAGCAGAGAGAGAGGATGACACAGAATCCTAAGCAGGCTCCAGGCTCTGAGCTGTCAGCACTCATAGACCAGACAGACATCATGACGGGAGCCCAAGTCCCACGCTCAAATGACTGGGCCACCCAGGTGCCAGTTGTTGGTTTTTGTTTGTTTGTTTGTTTTTTGTTTTTGTTCTTTTTCAGAGAGAGCATATGCGCAGGGGCGGGGCAGGGAGAGAAGGAGAGAGAGAATCCCAAGTAGGCTCCAGGCAGTCAGCGCATAAGAGGGCAAGCTTGTCTCTTCACCTACGGGGTTACAGCTAGCATGCTGCTCCCCAGCAACCCAGACAAAGCTGGGGGGTGGGGGTGGGGGCTGGGGATCCAAGGAAGCCGGCCTCTCAAGGCAGGGACCGTGGAATCTCTATCACACTTTCTTCCCATTATTCTCTCACTTTTCTTCCCAGGAAATTGGGCAGGCAAGGCTCAGAGAGATCAGACACACCCCAGCCCAAACACTGGAAACGTCTCTCTGAAGCATCCCACACCATCTCTTAACTTTCCCGTTTAAAGGAGCCAGCGGGACACAGGCACACACCCTTTAGAGAGTTTGTCCACCGCCCACCGGCTTCGTAAACCCGCGTGGGGCCTCACGGGGCGCTCCCGAGGGGCTGACACGCTGCAGTGAGGCGACAAAGCCGACAGGGACCACGCCAGTCTCGGCTCTGCGCCACCAACCTGGGTGCTCCTGCCGCCTGCTCCCCTAAGTTACAAGTCCCAAGATAAGCCTCTTCTGAACACACGCTACCGACCAAGTTCTCTCAGCTGTTGCACCACGTGCGTTCCCACCGCCCGCGGCCAAGAAGCCGCTCGAGAGATCGGTCAACGCAAGCCGCGGGCCCCGGGAGCGAGGACGACGGGGGACCGAGACCCAGGTTTCCCGGGGAGGATTGCGACACCCCTTTGCCGGCATGTGGCCGACAGAAGCATGGCGCCCTCCCCGCGCCCACGTGGGAAGGGCGTCAGGGACAGACACCCGAGCCTTCTCAGCCCCGAGCCTTTCCAGCTTGCCCTGCCCGCCCCTGGCCCCCGCCTTCCGCCGCGGGAAAGCCTCCGCTCAGCCCGGTCGCCAGCGAGGCCGCCACGGTGCCCGGCCCACGGGTCTGCCCCTCCCCTGCGCCCACCTCCACCCCTGCCCCGCGCCCTCGCTCCGGGAGCGTCGCCCCTTCCCTGTCTGGACCGAGGTTCCCCCCCCCCCCCCGAAGGGAGGGTGCGGCCGTGCCTGCGCCGCGGTGGCCAAAGTCAGGACCCCGGCCGGCCGGCCCGGGACGCGGAGAGGCGCGCACCGGGCGGGGAGCAGGCGGGCGGCCGCCCCGGCGCTGCGGACCCCCCGCCGTCAGGCCGCGGCCCCCGCTCGGCGCAGTCCCCACCCTCCGGCGGCCTGACTCACCGAGAACTTTTTTCTCCGCGTCTTCACCGCCGGCGGGGGCCGAAGAGGCGGGGGCCGCGGTGCCCGCGGCTGCGGGGGCCGCGTCCCCACCGGCGTTCCCTGCGACCGGGGCGGCGGGCGCCGCGCCGCTGGCGCCCGGGCTCTTGGGCGCGGGGTCCTGGGGCGCCGCGGCGGCCGCCTCCGCCGGAGCCTGCGGGAGGGTGGCGGCGGCGGCGGCGGTGGCCTCGCCCGCCTCGCTCATGCCGCCTCGTCTGCTCTCACTCGGGCACCTCGGTGGCGGTTGGAGGGCGGTTGGCGCGGCGGCCGGGGCTCGCTCTCGGGGAGGCCGGTGCGGCGCGGGCGGCGGCGGCCGACGTGGGGGCTCTCGCGGCGGAGGCGGCTCGAGCTCTCGGGCCGCGCGCTCGCTCTTGGGCTCCTCGCTCGATCTTACTGCCCCAAAAATGGCCCCGCACAAGTTTTTCTAGGCGGCGCGCCGGCCGCGGAGGGGGGTGGGGAAGGCTGGCCGCGGAGTTGGGCACGACTTCATTAGCATTTAAAGGCGCCGGGTGCCCTTTCCAGCCAGCGGTCCGCCGGGGGCTGGAGCGCGGGGCCGGACGCCCGAAACTGGCCTGCTGCGCGGAGGCGAACGCGGCCTCGGAACGTCGCCGCGCGTCTCTCGCCCAAACCCTTGGTTGGAAGCCCTTGACGTTTGTTCGGCGTTTATGAAGCACCAGAGACCATTTCCGACGCGACGCTGAAGAACTGAAACAAAATCTTAACCCCGCGTGGCCGCTGGTCCCTGGGAAGTGACTGAGGCGTCGTCTCACCTGTAGCGCTCCAGGCGAGGAAATGGGGATCCTGCGAAGGCAGGGGATCAGTGTAGATGTCAGAGCGCACAGCGGCTTAATGGCAACGGGTAATGAGCCGCTAGCATGTATTTGAAACTGCAGTGAATAAATTCACAGCATAGCCCCTGTTCCAGCCGCATCTCTTGGCCGGTGAAAGCGTAAGCAACTGACCCCTCTCAGGCGCAAGGGTTAGAGGTAGGGAGACACAGATCACCCAGTGGGCGGTGTCCCCAGTGTGAGGAGGCCGCCTGGCTTGTAGAAAATGAGGCTAAACACACGACCGGACGGGACAGTGACCCGTGCCCAGCGCCCGTCTGGAATTTAGGAGCATTTCGTGTTCTTTGCCTATGGGGTGCAGACACACCCAGGTATAAAGTCTAGTACTGCCCTTTCTCGAGGGAGTTCACTTCGGTTAGGTACACAGTGTCCCAGGCTGCACTTCGTCCTTTGAGAGAGTCTCTCAAAGGCACTGTGGGAAGCAGATGAGATTGTCCTATGTAAGTCCAATGTCTCATCCAAAACAGCTCATTTTCTTCCCTTCCTAGTCTCCTGAATCATTTACCAGTTATTTTCCCCCTGGAATTTGTCTGTTTTGTGGCTACATCAAGAGGGGTGCTAGGGGCACCTGGGTGGCTCCGCCGGTTAAGCAAGGGACTTCCGCTCAGAGCACGATCTCACGGTTCTTGGGTTCGAGCCCCGCGTCGGGCTCTGTGCTGGCAGCTCAGAGCCTGGAGCCTGCTTCAGAATCTGTGTGTCTCTCTCTGCCCCTCCCCTGCTTGTGCTCTGTCTCCATCTCAAAAATAAATAACATTAAAAAAAATTTTTAAAGAGGGGTGCTAGCAGGTGTAATCACCACTGTAACCCCACAGGCTAACACAGTACCTAGAATAGAGCTAGAACACAGTAAATGTTTACTAAATGAAAGCAAACAAAAGACCAAAATGTTCCAAACTTATCAACAGACGCGTTATCAATAATTAGGAAAACATGCAGCCTTATGACTTTCTTACTCCATTCATGAAAAAACCCACAAATTAAAGAAAATGAACTCTTAGAAAAGAATAGCAACATATGCGATTTTTCACTTTTCCATGTCTTGCTGTATTTTAAAAATTACAAACATCTAAATGTTACATTCATATTTTAGTTTAACTTCAATATGGAGCATACGATAATGTTAATGTGGGTGTTTGAAAAAATCCTGGTCGCATACTAAGCGTGACTAAAGTATTTCTTAATTTTAAAGATTCTAGTCTTTAAGCCAAAGGCATGACTTATTCTGCCAAGTACTAGCCATTGACTTCCGTATCCAACAAAATGATTCTCGTTGCCTTTTGCCACATAGGAGGAGATTGCAAGAAAATAAGATGAGGGGGCTTGAACTCTTCAAACCCCAATCTAATTAATTGTAAATCCCTTCCTTAAGATAGATGCAAGTACCCCCAACTCTCAAAAGTTCACGTTAAGCCATTTCCCTTCTACGAAAGTTGTACATTAGTACCTGTTTTCACAAACAGGAAGAGATCCAAAGAGGATTTCGCTTCTATGAAAAAAGGTGCAAAGCAAAGATGGGATTCAGCCCTTGTTTTGCACAAGTCATTATGGAGGCGGCATGCACCCCAAGCAGTGAGAGAGCTCCTGCTGAGCTCCTTCCCCAAAAACTATACTCGACATCTCAGTATTAAGTTGCTATAGCTTTGAATTGTGTCTGGGAGCATCTGTGTTCTGTTTTGATTTTTTCGTGCATCTGTTAGCAAGCTGTGTCCTAAGGTATCATAAAAGCCCAAGAGAGGCTATTTTTTGGGTCTAGGAATGCTTGAAAATTTTTCCATATAAATAAATGATCATTGTGTCTTCGCTTTATGCCATTTCAGTTTCATAAAAACACTCTATATTCTGATAGCAGGGGGAAACTTATCTATGTATATTCACCCCTGGAAAATAATTCCTAATGAACAGGTACGGTCTTCAACCTCTGGAAGATTGGATACTTACTTACAGATGCATCCTGGGATTTCCTAGAATTTTGCACGGGCACGGCTCCCAAAACTGCTCATCATTTTCATCCAAGAAAAGCAATGAGCAGCTGGTAATTCTTGGTATTGTGCTAAATAAATCTCCAGTGAATCATTTAGAACAAACAAGATCTATGTTGTTTTAATAATCATAAGTAGAGAAGGGTTCCGGGGTGGCCCAGTAAGTTAAGCGTGTGACTTCAGCTCAGGTCACAATCTCACAGTTCGTGGGTTCGATCCCCACATCGGGCTCTGTGCTGACAGCTGAGAGCCAGAGACTGCTTCAGATTCTATGTATGTGTCTCTCTCTCTCTGACCCTTCCTCGCTCACACTCTGTCTCTCTCTCTATCTCAAAAATAAAATAAAACATTAAAAAATTAAACAAAATAATCATAACTGGAGACCAACTTGATTTGGATGCACATAGTCTTTCCTTCCTTCACTCACTCGTTAATTCACCCACTCACTTAGCATGTATTTACTAAGCACACACTATGTGGCAGGCAAAGAGCTACCTTAGGTGTTTCCAATGTTGACCAAAATGAAGTCTACAATAAGGTTTTCTTTCATGTGATGTTAAATAATTTTTTTCACTATCATTTCCTTTGTAAGAAAATGTCACCTTTTACAATTAGAGATTAAGTGGAACAAACAAAAAATGAATTGTGATCTAATTGTTGGCAGCAATCCTTTTTAAGCGATGACTGACTCGATCATGCAAATAAAAGCCACTCTGTTCCTCGTATGAAGGGACTGAGAACTTCCACAACTTTCAGAAGGGCTGGAGGGTTGGGGGTTGAGAGGGAAAATCCAAGAGCCTCCATGGAAGATCTCAGAATCCACCCTCAAGGCCAGTGGTTCTTGAGAGTTCTCCCAAAGTCACCAGAGTCACAAGATCTCTAGGAGGTGTTCAACCACTCAAGGCTACGGCCAGGTTTGGGGAGATGTAAAGCTTACACAAATTTAGACAGCGCTCTTTAAGAAAAAATAATGCATGCGAAATTGTTAAAGTCTTAGAGTGGGCCCATGTAAGAAAAGAGCCCTTTGGTCTAAACCTCATTAGCCTCAATGTGCGTCCACCCACACTACCTCTCTTAATCAGCAACACAGATGCTAGAATTCAACAAGTTTATGTGTAAGCAGCTTTGAACTTCCATCTGTCCATGCATCTTCCTGTAACTAACTCCAGGAAACAATAACATCCCTCCCTTAGGTCTTCTCAGTCTTGAACTAAACCTTGAACTAGTCTCATTGAGAGGATTCCCACCTGGAACCATTCAGAGAAGGAAATTCTGGGAAATGTAGTTCCTGCCTTTGAAGAGGCTAAGGATAATGCTGCCGGGCTAGCAAGGGACTACCCCTCGCCCCCCTCCCCCCACCCCACCCCACCCCCGCCCATATACCCCTAGTGAGGAAAATACAATTAACTGACTAAAGGAGATTAAGGGGAGTTTAAGCCTTTCAAGGAACTAAGGTTTAAAGTATGTAAGCATTGATATATTAGCATATCTTTTCGCTGAAAAACAGTGAAAGTTCTCATCTAAACCTGATTGATGCTAAAATGATGGGAGGGGAAAGGAATTGGGCAGTTTGGAATTAAAAAAGTAAAGGAATAAGGGAGCAAAGATTCTTCTTTTTTAATTTTTATTCATTTTTTGAGAGACAGACAGAGCATGAGCATGGGGACAGAGAGCAAGGGAGGCTCTGAAGAATCTGAAGCAGGCTCCAAGCTGTAAACACAGACCCCAACGGGGGACTCTAATTCATGAACTGTGAGATCATGACCTGAGCTGAAGTCAGCCATGTAACCAACTGAGCCACCCAAATGCCCTGAGAACAAAGATTCTTCTTTGTCTCTAGCAATATTCTCCTTCCAGGGGGGAGATACACGGACTATATATATACAAGTCTCTATTTCACATTCACTAATAACTTCATATGTTTACTGACCATTCCCATTAGGTGCTAGAGTACAAATCAAGACCACAAGGGCCCCCATATTCAAGGGGCTGTTGGGCTAGACCAGCACTGTACAACTGAGATATAATTTGAGTCCCAAATATGACACATGTATATCATTTTAAAATTTCTGGCGGCCACAAAAGAAGCAAGTAAAAAGAAAGATTAAATTGATGCTAACACATTTTACTTAACTTGATATATCCAAAATATTTTCATTTCAACATTTAACCAATATAACATTTTTAATTCTCTATTTAATACCCCCCCCCTTTGGTACTGTCTTCAAACTATGATGTGTATTTTAAACTTAAAGCACTTCTCAATTTGGACTTGCCTTATTTAAAGTACTCAGTGTGGAAGAGCCCTGGTGGCTCAGTCGGTTAAGCATCCAACTGTGTCTCAGGTCATGATCTTGCAGTTTGTGAGTTCAAGCTCCGCAAGGAGCTGTCTGCTGTCTCCCTCTCTCTGCCCACTCTCTCTCAAAAACAAATAAATACACATCTAAAAAAGCAATAAAGTACTCAGAGCGACTAGTG